AATCATACTAGTTGCATATCATTTATTTGCAATACTCACTCATTAATGCAAATCTCATCGTGACATTCAACATACATCTCATGCAAGTGACAACATAAATCACATATGCATCATCGTCATTTATCACATTATACACATACTTGAATATCATATTGATAATATCAAGTCATCATAATCTTTCTCATCCACATCATATTTCATATCATGCATATACTTAAATATCATGCACATTAAATAATCAAGTTATCATCATATGCATATAAACACATCATGCAAATATCATGGATCAAATACTTTTGTAATAATCATGTATATATCCCATAAAAATCGCATAATGTACTCACCTTGAAGTGTTAACGTTCAGTAGGCTTTTCTCTTACAAGCGGCAACCTATATGATGATTATACCATGATATCTCATTAACATCTAAATTTCTCCAAAAAGTCAACAAAAGTCGACTATTGTCATTCTGTCCCAACCTAAAGTCAAACTTCGTATGCGAGCATCTTAGTATACCTCAAACAACTCTAATTGACCTATTATTAACAACCACAAAGGTCAAACGAACCAAAAGTCAACCCTTRGTCAACTTAGTCAACTCCAAGGAGACCAAAGCCTCTGTGGCGACCAGAGCCTCTGGTTGTATTGACCAGAGCCTCTGTGGCGACCAGGGCCTCTRTGGCGACCAGAGCCTCTGGTTGAAATGACCAGAGCCTCTGTGACGACCAGAGCCTCTGGTTGTAATGACCAGGGCCTCTGTGACGACCATACTTAGAGAATAATTCAACATCATACCAGAGCCCCTCTGGTCTCTCTCCCAGAGCCTCTGTGGTCCTACACAGACTCGAAAGCTAAGGTTTGAGACATAAGGCTACTAAGGTCCTACAGAGGACCTAACACRAAGTTAACCAAATAAGGASYATGGGCGATGGTTGAGTGTTTTACCTCTAAATGCAGACTTCGGATGGGGACTTGGAGCTCYGATTTCTCTCCCGATACTTGATGAAATCTTAAGAAGTTTKAATGCAAACTGTAGAGCAAAGTGAATTCTATTTATATGCTGAGGTTTTTGTCGTAATAGTTGAATAATCGGACCAATGGGGAGCTWYAAAGGAGAGGTCGGTATCATATCTCTGAATTGYAGATATTGCAAAAYARGTCSTCCTGTTGGACTTGTTAGTCTCCGACCCGACAGAGGTCACTTTCATACCTCTGCGTCGCAGGTCTGGAGCKTAAGTACAAAACAAACACCCCTGCATTTGCAGGTCTGGTGCAAATTTTACAGAACAGGTCCTTCTGATTTGGACCTGTTTACCTTTGACTCAACCCCTTTAACTTTCGAAATTTACAAYCTTTACCCTTGACCCGACATTTTCTTCCACTTAAGGTCCGAACATTAAACTTATTTTGAGATTTTGATTACTACCTCCTCAACTAAAAAATATAAATATTTTATCACCTCAAACGAATTTAATAAATTGAGCATTATCTATATAAAGACCTGTACGATATACATACATACATATATATATATATATATAAATTTTGGGTTTTACAGTGATATTCTTCAAGTTTTATGTGATGATCTTCTCTTCGGATATTACTTGTTTTAATTCCTTGCTTATTCTTTGTTGAACGATGAGTTGGTTTATCGTTTAAAGCTTGGCGATGAGCCCGTTTATCGACCAAAGTGTTGGCCGATAAACCATCTCATCGCTCAAAGCTTTCAGTGATAACCTTGTTCGCCGTACAAGGCTTTGTCCAATGAAGCCTTGTTATCGGACAAAGCTTCATCCGGTGATGAATTTGTATCGTCATGAATCCGTGTGACTTCGCGCCATTTCATTTTTTTTTACCTTATATAAAGGGTGTCTAATTTCCATTCTTATTTTTTACTTTACACTCTCATTTCTACTCCAGTTCTTCATCGCTTACATTCTTCAAACTTATTCATCGAACGAATCTTTGAACACTCATCGACAGTTTGATTCATCGACCATTCCTTCTTCATCTTTGGATTCTTGGACTATTGTATTGACAATCTTTGAACAAATCTTCATATTGTTCTTATAAAGGTTTGTAATGGATTGTAAATAATAATATGATTCTGATCTTAAACTTTAAATCTAATATGTTAATGAACTTGAACAATAACAATTTTTTGAAACCCTAAACCTTTGACCGATAACATTTAAAAG